ATTACGTGTAGATTATAAAATATTATTTTATTTCATTTAATTTTGAGAAGAAAAAAAATATGTATAACAATCCCGAATAAAAGTGAGTGATATTGTGAACAAAAAAGAGAAATAGCAATGTATTTGAGAGAGACATTTTTTGGTGGACAAATGTATCTTATGGATAAGTTTTGCGATGTCTTTCTTATTAAAATTAATTTAATAAATCTGGGTATAAGACTGAATTGAAACTCGTTAAAAACTTTATAGATATAATTGTATCAATTAAAACTTCAAGTACTAAATATAAATTATGTGTATATTTTATGAGCTTAAATTGAAAATCATCCATTTGTTTGTGTAGCGGAGAGTGAGAAAAGATTCAAATCTAGGTTGTTCATGTTACTATATATAAAATAATATGACTTTTTTTTTAATGTGTATGAAGGTTTTTGATTCAGTTTATTCCAATGATCATATAATATTGTCACCGAAATAAAATCGTAGCTCTAATAAATATAAAGTTACCGGAAAGAATAAATAAGGTATGACCTCATTTGGTCAATTGTAAAATGTGTGGCAATTGATATTGTTAGTATCTAATTTGTGATTAACAAAGAAAAATTTTAGTGTTAAATTAGTTTCCAATTTCCCTTGCTCAATACCATTTTAAATATTTTGGTTGCTTTCCTTCAAAAGTGAAATTATCCCCAACTTATCTTTAGGTCAAGACTAGTTTAAGAAATTTGTCTTTAGTTTATTTTTGTTGCTTTTATTTCTCTTCTTTCATTTATTGTGAAATATATTATTAGAATTATTTTATTTTTTGAGTACGAAATTGAAGCTCAAATTTAAAGCCTCATGAGACGTAGGTCTAATATGACTTGTCAATACATCTTTGCCAGTTCCATATCTCCCCCTTCTCTCTCTCTCTCTCTCCTTGATTAATAAAAATGGGAGAACCTCCAAGTACATGCATTCATAAAAATGTACACAGAGATATAGAGGTAAGACTACACCCGTTTGTGTATGTTGGTTTTCTTATTTACTACAACTTTTGAATCTATGGAGGTAACCCAAAATTCAACTTCTGGTATTCTGTGAGAGACTTCTTCAAACCTTGTTTATGCATTGGCATTGATGTTGGAATAGATGCATGTAACAAGATTCTGCTCAACCCTCAATTGGCAGGTTCATGTTCCAGTATTATGAACAAAGGGAGAATAGCGACCTAACACGGCAAACCACTCTCCAAGGGTAATGGAATATCTAGAATTGGAGTTTTTGGAAGAGCATTTTTTGAACATATTCGAGAGTTCAATATGAAATATTCAAGAGTTCAATAAGACATTTTCCCTCAAAAGTAGGCACCCACATTGTATTGATATGCATCCAGTTATATATAGTGAATCCCATAACTAAGAATAAAAGAAAAATGTACTTGAACACATTATAGTGCTGGAACAAAATAGAACACTCAATAATTTTACTTTCTAGTAGTCAAAAAAGTAAAATGTACAAGAGAAAAAGAAGAGTATTGAAAATGATCAAATACATCTACACTGCTCAGTGAATAATCAACCTTTAAAACCTAGTTATCTCAAGAAAATATTACATTGCAATCACTCTATTGCAAGTTCCATATGATAGAAATCACAAACAATGCAATTCAAAATTAAAATTCACTGACCCAAGCTAAATAGAAAGCGTGAAACAATCTTATCCCCTCTTGTTATTGTTGGCTTGCATCACAGAAATAGTTCGATTATGAATGCCCCCAAAAAGTGAGATCTAAATTGTGACATTTANTGAATTTCCCAATAATAAACCATTTTTAATCATAAACTATTTTCCACAAGTTCTTGTAGAGTCTCATACCTCCACAAGCTCTTGTAGGAAACCATTTCTAGTATTAACAAATCATTTATAACTATAAACCATTTCCCATAAGTTCTTGTACAGTCTCATACCTCCACAAGTTCTTGTANAAATGCAAAGTGCATTAGGTACTTGAGAAAGTACATATGTCAACTTATTAAAATTAGGATTGCATGAAGCTTACACAATGAGCAATATCTTCAAGCAATGATAAATCATTCTTTGAGGAACCTGTGGATTTCTTTAATCTGAGAAAAATAATGGGAAATTGTGGATCACTCAGAATTTCAAGGCCTTGTATATCTGACAATCCTGTAATTTATCAATATATAAGGATCAAAACAAAAGCTAAGACCAGCAAAAAGTAAAATAAAACTTCTTCACAACCCTGATACAAATCATGATAGGCAAACCATAACAAACAGGTACAACCTGGTCATGANTTCACCCAATCATAACCACACAAACCACTTTAGGAAGGGCATATAACGTCTCCCACGACATTGACGAATCCTTCCCAGGAAAGGTGTACCCACCCTTAGGCTCAAATTTACGTGAACAATAANAACAAACAGGTACAACCTGGTCATGATCATAGCTTTATATAGTCTAAATGAGCAAACAATGGTAAAAGTAAAGATCTCTACATAGTATGGTGATATTCTTCCTCTGCTTTGTATTCAAATCAGGATTTTGCTCCAAGACATCAATAGCAATAACTGCAGTAGGACGACGACAAAGAGAAGAGTGGTCAGGGCAGTGGTGTTGGAGGAAGGGGTGGTTNTTTTGCTCCAAGACATCAATAGCAATAACTGCAGTAGGACGACGACAAAGAGAAGAGTGGTCAGGGCAGTGGTGTTAGAGGAAGGGGTGGTTGTGGTTATGGTTGTGGTGGTGGTGGGTGGGAGGTGGCGGAAGAGATGGGCTACGCCTCAGAGCTTGGTTGCGTTTGAACTGTTACTATTACTATCATTATTAAGGTTAGGGTCGTGTGTGGTGGCGGAGGAAGTGGTGGTGAAGAGAGGCTTAGGGGTGTTGATGATGTGGCTTTGGAGGGTTAACATTTTGGCTCTGTTTTCTATGTTTTCTAGGAGAGTATCACCCTAGACGTCCACCTCGGGAGTGGAACTTCCCAATGTATCGGCTCTTCAACTCCGAGCTCCTCGTCTAGACCACAATCTGAAAGAAATATATAGTTTGTAAGGGGTGAGCACTAAGCTCTGTAGCAACATTCTCCCAATCTCGAATAAAGTTTAGAAACATATAAAATAGTTCGATCTCATTTTTCAAAATAGCATATATAACTTGAAATAAAACAGTGACTATTTATTTGTTCTCAAGTGTACGTAATCGCAATAATTTAAATGAACAGTAAAATGAATTTCCCAATAATAAACCATTTTTAATCATAAACTATTTTCCACAAGTTCTTGTAGAGTCTCATACCTCCACAAGCTCTTGTAGGAAACCATTTCTAGTATTAACAAATCATTTATAACTATAAACCATTTCCCATAAGTTCTTGTACAGTCTCATACCTCCACAAGTTCTTGTAGGAAACCAATTTCACACAATAACAATAATCGTTCAATAGTGTCATCCCATATTCTTATGTATATTGGTTGCTTCCCATAAATCTATACAACGACTCTACCTCGTTCACCCAATCATAACCACACAAACCACTTTAGGAAGGGCATATAACGTCTCCCACGACATTGACGAATCCTTCCCAGGAAAGGTGTACCCACCCTTAGGCTCAAATTTACGTGAACAATAACGGTTGTTCCCACAATTAACAAACTACTACAAGTGTTAGAAAACCATCTCACCCCCACTGGGATAGACTAACCTCCAACACTCTACGGCAGTGCTCGAATGTAATTCAAGTCCATCACAACAACCATACAAGGGATGCAATAACAAATATTTTCTTTAAAACACAAGAAAATTCAAAATCCCCAATTCTCACAATTTGTAATACAAGAGAACTATTTAAGAAAATAAGCAAGAGATTATCACAACATCATTTTATTACTCAACACAAAGCACTAGGGTTTCAAAGTTAAGAACAAAGGAAGAATCAAGAGGAAAATTCATCTCTTTTGAAAACTAGGGTTTTATGACAAGAAAAAAAATCTCATGGTTATATAACCATAGCTTTGTTTAAAACATGGTAATGATTGCAAAAATCTCAAAGAATCATGATTTCATAGCATATACATATGATTTAAAGTCAAAAGAGTACATATAGATAAGCCCTAGCCTCAATGTAGGGGAATAGGAAGAAAACCCCTACCTTGATGTTCTTGAAGAAATCTAAGGCTTTAATTCAATTCAAAGTGCAAAGCCCCTTTGATCTTGTGTTTTTTCCCTCTCTTTCTTCCTCTCTAAGATTTTCTAGGGTTAAAAGTGTTGAAATGGGCTAAATAGGACGTCTTTATGTATTTATAGTGGAAAGAGGGCCGACTATTCATGACTTAAAAATTTTTGGAATCTGTCGAGGTTACTAGTACGCGTACCGGTACGGTATGGCTACTGGACTGCGTCGTACCGGTACGCATACTAGTACGGGGCAGTATTTATAGTGGAAGGAGGGCCAACTGTTCGGGACTTAAAAAATTTTGGAATCTGTGGGGCATACCGGTACGGTCTGGCTACTGGTTTTCGGCGTACCGGTACGCTTTTGTTGAATCTGCTTGTTTCCTCTATTTTTCATTTCCAATCGATTTCCAATCCTTCCAAGGTCATCCCAAACTTATACAACATACATTTGCACATCAAACAGGGTTGGTACAACTTCTATTACAAATGATTTCATATATTTATCCGGGTTTCCACAATATCATTATTTCTACAGTTATAACCCATATGATTCATTCCTACGCCATTACATATATTAAAATTTTTACACAATTTATTATGATAGTACTATAAACATGTGAGGGTTTACAATAATGCTACATTCAAAGGAGATACGTCTCTAGTAGTTGTATAATAAGTACACATTATATAAAGTCATGAACCAATTGATACTTTCAAAAATAGGTAATTCTTTATTCTCCTCCTCTTGATTGTTCTGTTTTTTCTATTATAATTGGTATGACTATAATTATGTGTGTTGTTTGCAAAACTAATTGACCATGTATCGTTAACACCAGAGATGAAACAACATATACATATATGGCAATTCCATCACAAGTTCTGCTGCAAGACCTTATTTCTTCTCATTTTCTCAGTTCTTACTATCATACCCTTATTATTTTGCTTTTGGTATTGTCAATACGATTTTAGAGAATTTATTTTTGTATTCATACTACTTAGTATAGCAGAAGTGTCATATTTCTATATAATAGATGTTGTTCTACAAGTCAAGTGTTGTCTTTTGGTTCTTCGTAATTGGAGTGGAAGAAGTATGATCCTAATAATAACTATATTAGGCATTTTATCCCTGCGTTGACAGGTAAGTCGAAATGTTTCTCTTGTTTCTATTGGCTAGATATTTTCTGCTTTCTGAAATCTAAAATCTAATGCCATGCCCAGATATGCCTAAATAGTATATTTATGAGCCATGCACAACTCCCCTAAGCATCAAAACCAAAGCAAAGTGCATCATTGGAAAAGATTATCCAAAACCAGGTCATATGTCTTAATGGGTTGGTCTTCGATATCATCTTTATTTAGGTATGTAAACCTCGTATCAGTCATTAATTTGTTCAGTTTACCTATTGATTTCCTTTGTTTACCTATGGTAATATTGAATTCTTTCTGACTTCCAAAACCAACAGTTGGATTTGATTATAGAGTATGCATGTTTGTGGTAAATGAGCAGTTTCATGTGTTGCTTTGTTTATTTAATTTCCTCGCTTCAGGTTCTTTGAACACAAAGTGAATACAAGTGGTTGGCGAAAACTTTTGTACAGTGGTGGCCTGGATTGTTCTGCATATCAGGTAAAAGAAGTGCACCAGACCTCTAATCTCACATAGCTGATGCACTCATGTGGAAGAAAATACTTTCCACCATTGGAATGTTTGGAACATTGAAAAGCTGCTAAATTTGTTGGATCATTAGGTGTGATTAAATACACTGACACAATTTCACATATAATAGTTTTTCTTTTGATCATGTTATTTCTCAATGTGCTCCAATTGACCATAGGTATTGATATATTTGCTTTCCAAAACAATATTCCTGTCTTCTGCCCAAGCTTGACTGATGGCTTAGTGGGTGACATGTTATACTTCCATTCTTTCCGGAATCCTGGTTTAGTCATTGACATAGTGCACGGTAATGAAACCCCACCCCCTTCATTGTCATTTTGGTAGGTGTGGAAATTAGTTGATTTTTTCACTGTATAAACAGATATTAGGGCCATCAATGGTGAGTCAGTCCATACTGGCCCCAAGAAAACTGGGACGATAATTCTTGGAGGAGGGCTGCCCAAGCATCACATTTGCAATGCCAATATGATGCATAATGCTGCAGATTTCGCTGTCTTCATTAACACAGCACAAGAGTTTGATGGGAGTGATTCTGGTGCCCGTCCTGACAAAGCTGTATCATGGGGAAAAATGCGAGGCTATGCAAATACTATTAAGGTGTAGCTTTTTGTATTTAGCTTCCTCCCTTTTGATTTTTTTTATTTGTGCTGTTGTATCTTATTTTGGTCCCTCACTGTCCTATTATGTTTCCATAAGTGTTTTTTGTTGCCTGGTTCTATATGTAACAGAGTGTGCTAGAATGAAATTTTCCTGATGCATGATTTCTCCGTGTTTCTCTTGACGATTTTCCATTTTTTATTTTTGTTAGTCTTTAGTTCATTTTCTTGATGATTTCACAAAATTCTGCTATGAAAACCTCTGTCATTCCCCTATAGTGAGATAATTCAATAAAAAAAGAAAGAGTAGGCTGCACTCATTTACCAACATTCTTGTCCCAATGGTATTGTTGTATTGTTTTCTCAACATTAGTGGACTTGGATTGTGTTTGTTCGCAAGTTGTGGAGGTACCAAATGTATCCTAGAAGGATATTAGTGGGCTGGACAATGTGAAACGGGAGCTTCAACAGGTATGTCTTTTGTCCCTATGGGCATGGATTATCTGATTAATCCTCTCCTATTTAATTTAGTTTTTTCAAATGCATGTGCTCCTTCTTTATTCAAATAATCAGATGTTCCTCTCATATTATCATGGTAACTGTTTATGCGCATGATAAATGAAATTTCAAAACATTGTGGCTGCTGGAAGACCATGCAATACTCAGTGGAGCATCCCGAGAAGTTTGAAAAATTTGGCATGTCACCTTCCATATGAGTTCTCTTTTATGGACCTCCTAGATGTGGCAAAACCTTGGTTGCCAACGCTATTGCTAATGAATGTCAGGCCTGTTTTATAAGTGTCAAAGGACCCGAACAGTTAACAATTTGGTTTAGAGAAAGTGAGGCAAATGTTCAGCAGATATTTGACAAAGCAAGCTAGTCAGCTCCATGTGTGCTTTTCTTCAATAAGCTTGATTCCATTGCAACTCAGGTACTCATTTTCCTTCTATCCATAAGTCTAAGTGCATCCCAATTCACAAATCTACAACCTTGACTATCACTTATTGCTTGTGGCATTCTCTTATCAAATCCACAGATTTACAATCTTGTTCCTAACATTTATCCTACTCCCCCTACCCCAACGTGCCTGCAAATACGCCATCAAAGAAAATATCGAGAAGGTGAGAGATTTTTCTACTCATGAAGTTGTGTTCTATACAACATTGAAATAAAAAAAGGGGAGCAAATGCAATTGCACTAGATGCATCAATGGACCAGATGGTGGATATTTACCTGACCTTCATGATTTTTCATTTTATAATTTATATTTTTGGAGCAAAATGAATCTGGCAGAGTCATGACTTATGACTGAGATGTGATATTTGTTTTTCTTGTATGCTAAAAGTTTGGAACACAATACATGAAAGCTAGCTTCAACCAGCATTTGAAATGGTTCAAATCTAGCCGGAAAGTGATTTCATGCTTTCCCTCTAGGTTGTTAAGACCTTGCTAGAAGATTACTTGTATGAACTCTTTAAATTGATGAACTGTTGTCTGATCCAACGACTTTTTACTTTGGTCATCCAAATGACTTATTAGATACATGATTAAGGACCGTCAATGGTTTATACTAGACACTTGAGCCATGGGTGGTTTTAATGATCCACAACCAGACTAGCCTATGTATATATAAGCTAAAGGCATCTAAAGAGTCCAATGTTTAGATGAAGAATTATGAATCAGGTGAGTATACTGATTGTGTAGTCTAATTACTTTGTAGAATTAAGTGAGTATAGTTGATGAAAAGCTTATTTTAATTCTTGGTTATTAACTATATGTTTTTTTTTGGTGAACACTAAACAATGCATACCACTTAGCTCGCTGGGGACATCTAATAGCAAAAGGGTTCAAAACCTTTGTATGAAAGCTGACAAAGAAACAATAAATGTATGGTTTATAGTAGTTCATGATTTTTCACATTTCAATCACAAAATATATATATATATATACACAAACCTATTTCATTGTTTTTAAAAAACTAACAATATGGCAATACAGCTTTTAAGATTTTAAGATTTTTTTCTGCCATTGTTCTTATTCGCAGAAAATCAAGACTTCATTCAAGAATTGTTGTGGAATATCCTTACAGCAGATTTCATGGTTTCTATGGATACAATAGCAGACTAACGAATGGAAGGGCAAGTCTTTGAAAAAGTTTCTGACATTTGCTAACGATTGTCATCTATAAAAGTTTCAAATTCTTCAAGAAATAAACAAATGGAATTGATTTGGAACTTGTCAGTCCATTGATAATACAATACCAATATAATTATTGATCTCTGCTGGTTAATGAGTTTGGACAAGTGTTTCTATAATGAATGAGTAACCTTCATTTTTTTTTCAGTAAGTGCACAAATAGCCTTCGTACTATATTTCTTGGTATGCATTTACAATGTTTTTTGGTCAATAAGTGCATTGGACTTTGCTGCTTTGTACTTGTTAACGGGATTTTGTTGATTGTTTATCACTTCAATTGTAATGCCAATTCTTACCATCAACAAAATACAATTATATTTATGAAAAAAAAATAGTTGTTGTATTCAAACAAGTTTAGAGAAATCTCTAATATGACATGCACACTCAAAATGGTCTACGTGCAACACATGTATGCATCAACTAGTATATATATATATTTTCTTTTTCTTTTTTTCTTTGTGTGTGTGTATATATATATATACACACACACAAAGAAAAAAATAATATAAAATCCAACATTTATACTTGATCTATTTAGTCGTGAAATGAATTAAATTGATGGAGAAGCCGAGAAGGATAATCAATGTTACATACTTGCAAAATCATCTCCCCTCCCTGCATACAATGTAATTGACCAGAATGTAAATAATGTCAATACGGCATATGTCATGCTGATAATAAGCATCAGGTTGTCTAAATTGCGTAGCTTTTCTGATCAGGCTTGTGTCAGTTGGGAACTTAGACGTTGCTGTTAGTTTACTGCTTTCCACTCCTCTTGAAAGCTCTTACTTCTATGCAAATGCCCTCCGTGCTGTTGCTCTTTCATCCGCGGTGTCTAAGTCTCTGCTTAAACCGGCAGTAAAGGTTAAATGTTAAATGTTGTTTCCCCATATCATATGGCGTCTTTTTATGATATCTAGGTTGTTGCAGCCAATATGGTCAGGACCGAAAGTTCATTGTCTGGCACACATCTGCTCTGTGCTGTTGGGAGGTATCAAGAAGCTTGTTCTCAGGTGGTATTCTATTTTTTGATTGGTATTTGTTGCGTACCTTTGTTATCTATGATCTAAATTTCACCTATTATTATTCTTCACTTATCTTGGAGTTTTACTTGTTTGATCTTGTGTCATTCGATCTTTTTTCTGTGTGTGCATAGTGCGTACTGATTAGGATATGAGGCAGATTTTCCTGTTTCAAGCTTACCCGGTGCCTGTTGATAATGCTTTCTGTATAGCACTATAGGCTCTATACTTGTATTGCTCACTTTAAACCATTTTCTTAATCTTTGTAACTCATCTATGGCATTTCAAGGCCCTTCCTTTCGTTTGCTGGGTTATTCATCATTTGGAGTGCAGTTTTCATCTGAAATGAATGATGGGCATTAAAGCTTAGCTGTAAACAGTCCTCTCTCCCATTCCATTTGGCATAAAATAGTGGAGTATTAGCGTATGAGACACCCTGCATCTCTGTTTTTGTTGTGTTTCATTGATTAAGTTGCTGAATGGCTCCTGGGATAAACTGGTTGAGTGGTGGCCAATAATTGAACTTCTACCATATGGGAATGTGCAACTATTAGCTCCAACATTATTCAAAACTCTAGGTAGTTGGCACTTGACAGTAGTTCCCAATGAAGACTAAATAGTGCTTATGGAAATTCTGTGTAGTCCAGGTCGGATTGCAATTGTGATTACTAGAATTAATTGGGTGACTTGATGTTTGCTGTGATCACCTATGCTCATGGGCAAGTCCATAATGAGCTGCAACTGTGTGCAGAAAATAGATCCAAATTTTGTTGGGGGAGGGCGGTGTGTCTAATCTTAATAATGATCCAACTGTTTCTGTTGCTTATTCACCAAAAAAGTATAAATGTGCCTTTGGGAATTCTTGGTACTCTTTTAACAATAAAGTTTATTTTGTTGTTTTATGGGTAGATGTCCTTGTGCTTTATGTTGGTTGTTCTTTCTTTCATTGGTCTGGCTCGTTTTAACAAGTTTCTTTCCTAATGGAGTGATGTAGGCTGCTTAGCTACAGCAGGCTTGTCCAGATGACTACACTAGTTGTGCCAGTAAGTTAGATGCCACAACTTTGACGAGGTTGTAATATAGGTGGTAGTATAAAGCTTAGCTGTCACCCGTATACTAGTGAATCTGTGATTACTTTGCCTTCTTTTTTACATATACTCACTCCCTATGTGTGTGAGTGTGTGTGTGTGTGTGAGAGAGAGAGAGAGAGAGCAGGGGTAAGGGTGCCTACTGCATACATGCATCTGCTTCTACCAGATGAGAGAATGTCAAAGAAATGGATAAAACTTTATCTTTCCTAGTTTTAATGCTTACTTGTTATAAATGAAACACGAGTTATCAAGCTAACTTCAGCCAGATTGCCATACCAGTTCATTTACAAAAATTATTTTTCATTTGACTCAAAATTTGCTCTTATATTTATCTCATTCTAGTCATGATATGCTGTGGTCTCTATTTTGGTGGGGGAAAATAATGTTATGTCCCTGTTTGACTTATTTTTCAATAATCGTGTTTAGAAGACCTTGATTTCATCAAATGTGATCCAGNTCCCTACCCCAACGTGCCTGCAAATACGCCATCAAAGAAAATATCGAGAAGGTGAGAGATTTTTCTACTCATGAAGTTGTGTTCTATACAACATTGAAATAAAAAAAGGGGAGCAAATGCAATTGCACTAGATGCATCAATGGACCAGATGGTGGATATTTACCTGACCTTCATGATTTTTCATTTTATAATTTATATTTTTGGAGCAAAATGAATCTGGCAGAGTCATGACTTATGACTGAGATGTGATATTTGTTTTTCTTGTATGCTAAAAGTTTGGAACACAATACATGAAAGCTAGCTTCAACCAGCATTTGAAATGGTTCAAATCTAGCCGGAAAGTGATTTCATGCTTTCCCTCTAGGTTGTTAAGACCTTGCTAGAAGATTACTTGTATGAACTCTTTAAATTGATGAACTGTTGTCTGATCCAACGACTTTTTACTTTGGTCATCCAAATGACTTATTAGATACATGATTAAGGACCGTCAATGGTTTATACTAGACACTTGAGCCATGGGTGGTTTTAATGATCCACAACCAGACTAGCCTATGTATATATAAGCTAAAGGCATCTAAAGAGTCCAATGTTTAGATGAAGAATTATGAATCAGGTGAGTATACTGATTGTGTAGTCTAATTACTTTGTAGAATTAAGTGAGTATAGTTGATGAAAAGCTTATTTTAATTCTTGGTTATTAACTATATGTTTTTTTTGGTGAACACTAAACAATGCATACCACTTAGCTCGCTGGGGACATCTAATAACAAAAGGGTTCAAAACCTTTGTATGAAAGCTGACAAAGAAACAATAAATGTATGGTTTATAGTAGTTCATGATTTTTCACATTTCAATCACAATATATATATATATATATATACAAACCTATTTCATTGTTTTTAAAAAAATAACAATATGGCAATACAGCTTTTAAGATTTGAAGATTTTTTTCTGCCATTGTTCTTATTCGCAGAAAATCAAGACTTCATTCAAGAATTGTTGTGGAATATCCTTACAGCAGATTTCATGGTTTCTATGGATACAATAGCAGACTAACGAATGGAAGGGCAAGTCTTTGAAAAAGTTTCCGACATTTGCTAACGATTGTCATCTATAAAAGTTTCAAATTCTTCAAGAAATAAACAAATGGAATTGATTTGGAACTTGTCAGTCCATTGATAATACAATACCAATATAATTATTGATCTCTGCTGGTTAATGAGTTTGGACAATTGTTTCTATAATGAATGAGTAACCTTCATTTTTTTTTCAGTAAGTGCACAAATAGCCTTCGTACTATATTTCTTGGTATGCATTTACAATGTTTTTTGGTCAATAAGTGCATTGGACTTTGCTGCTTTGTACTTGTTAACGGGATTTTGTTGATTGTTTATCACTTCAATTGTAATGCCAATTCTTACCATCAACAAAATACAATTATATTTATGAAAAAAAAATAGTTGTTGTATTCAAACAAGTTTAGAGAAATCTCTAATATGACATGCACACTCAAAATGGTCTACGTGCAACACATGTATGCATCAACTAGTATATATATATATTTTCTTTTTCTTTTTTTCTTTGTGTGTGTGTATATATATATATACACACACACAAAGAAAAAAATAATATAAAATCCAACATTTATACTTGATCTATTTAGTCGTGAAATGAATTAAATTGATGGAGAAGCCGAGAAGGATAATCAATGTTACATACTTGCAAAATCATCTCCCTTCCCTGCATACAATGTAATTGACCAGAATGTAAATAATGTCAATACGGCATAAGTCATGCTGATAATAAGCATCAGGTTGTCTAAATTGCGTAGTTTTTCTAATCAGGCTTGTGTCAGTTGGGAACTTAGACGTTGCTGTTAGTTTACTGCTTTCCACTCCTCCTGAAAGCTCTTACTTCTATGCAAATGCCCTCCGTGCTGTTGCTCTTTCATCCGCGGTGTCTAAGTCTCTGCTTAAACCGGCAGTAAAGGTTAAATGTTAAATGTTGTTTCCCCATATCATATGGCGTCTTTTTATGATATCTAGGTTGTTGCAGCCAATATGGTCAGGACCGAAAGTTCATTGTCTGGCACACATCTGCTCTGTGCTGTTGGGAGGTATCAAGAAGCTTGTTCTCAGGTGGTATTCTATTTTTTGATTGGTATTTGTTGCGTACCTTTGTTATCTATGATCTAAATTTCACCTATTATTATTCTTCACTTATCTTGGAGTTTTACTTGTTTGATCTTGTGTCATTCGATCTTTTTTCTGTGTGTGCATAGTGCGTACTGATTAGGATATGAGGCNCTCTCTCTCTCTCTCTCTCTCTCTCTCGTTTGAAAAAGACTATCACTCCAATACAACAAATATTTTTTCTTAGTTATCATTTCTTCCTCCATAGTATCAAAATCAGTAGGGTTTGAAACATTATCGACAACTACCATACCTTCTACTGTGTTCTGGTCATCATGAATTTCTATGTCGTTGGTTTTCGAAAAAAAAAAGGTTGAAATTTTGCTCAATGTGTTATTAGTTTGATTTCCAATTTTATTTTTATTTTTTTTTATAAATAATCCCCAAATTGTTTTAATATTTTATGTTACTACGTTTTTTGTTGACTATGTTATTATTTTTTCTAATTGATCATACTACTATGTTTTTTTCATGTTACTATTTTTTATTGAACATGTTATTACTTTTTAATTGTTACTTTTTTGGATACTGAAGAATTAGAGACTTCTTCCTCTGGTTATTGGTTCGAATGCTACTATTTTTATTTTCAATTTTGTTCAATGTTTTATATTGTTATTTTTTTTTGTTAAGCATGTTACTGTTTTTTGTTAAATATGTTACTGTTTTTATTAAACATGTTATTATTTTTGTTAAACATATTACTATTATTATATTTTTAAAATATTAATATTAAATGTTACTATTTTATTGTGTTTAAATGCTACTTTTTTTTATTTAAATATTACCATTTTTTATTTTTAATGTTACTATATATATATATATATAATCCTAATTTATATATGAATATAAATACATATAAAAAAAAATTTAATGTAAGTCAAACTCTTAAAATTTAAGAATTTTTAATTTTTAATTTTTAATTTTACTTCACTTCTAATGAGAAGGAATAGTCTGATAAAATTGACAAAAAAACGAACTGCATAACAAATAAATTTCTTTGACGAACTTAAGTCCAAATAAGTCCATATAGAAAGACCGGCTCCCAAATTTCCCTTTTATTTTTGAAAAGCTGGACAGCAGGATGTGACAATTTTCAAGCTGCATATTAGAAATTCGTCAAGCCTAGAAGTCGACATATGCTAGAACAATGATATTTGCAAACTTCTCATCTGCTAGAAGTCTTTGTTATAAAATAACAAATTATACCCATCTCCGTAATTGCAATGCCGTTGGCACAGCTAAGAATCACACAATTTGAATGCTTAACAATAGTGTGTGAATTTAATTAAGTGCTACAAAATTGACATGACAAATCAAATTACTTGATACTTTAAGCCACATGTCAGTGTAGCTATAACCCAAATAGCATATTGCAATGGCCCCAGGAGTTGTCATTCTCTCATCTTCAAGGTTGATGACAGCTTGAAACACGTTCCCATGTAAGGTAAGCTTAGTTAATACTTCCTCAATATACACTTGATACTGACCAAAGAATTTACAGAGCTACTGTCTTTGCTTATTTCCTTGCTTGGATACCCTTGAATGGCTTGCCACTGTTTCACTCTTTTGGATGCATCGGATCCCATATAACAAGCAAGCTTAGTTCTTCTGATTTTCTCTTTTCCCACAAAAGTATGGCTGGATCGAAATTTCAGCAAAATGAGTAGATTATCTTGCTTTACACCAAATGTATAGAAGCTCAGATCATTCCATCGTAAGTTCAGGTTGACAGAACATCCCAGAAGCCAAAACGAAGAATTTCATGTTTTGAAGACTGAAGTAATTAGGTGTTTCATCTTCACGAAACAATCCAAACCTGCTTCGACCTTTCCTTCGTTTCAAAAGTATTATGACCAAGTGACATGACAAAGCATACTCATCCAAGAAACTGCAGGAGACATTAAATTGTGAATTCGCATTCTTGTAATTTTCAATATATGTACGGTTGGCAATGAAATTTGAAATTTTCGATGTGGTCAAAATGAAATGATACTGAATACAAGACAGAGGACAGAGTATTTTACACCTTACCTTCTAGGTTCTTATATACTAGTGAAAGAATCGCTTGCGACATCGAGCAGACCCCAGCTCCTCATACTCGGTCTTAGTCACACACATTGCTTCAAAATCAGGACTAGATGCCAAAAGTGAACCCCCGCGCCAAACACCTAAAATAGGACTGTCCAGACAAGAAAGTGTTACCAATCTGGAAGTAGCAATATGTTTTAGGAAACAGTTTTTCAAGTACATAAGGGCTTACTCTTCTTGAGTAGTTATCTTCACTTGGTATATATCGGGTACAAGAGGTCGGAGATCCCTTTCTCTATAGTGGAACAAAATAATTTGTGGTGAATTCCAAATTATCCATTACAAAAATATTTCAAAGCAGTGGCAAAAAATTGAAATCTTACAATCTTTCAGCAAATCGAGGAAAAAGTGTGCTTCCACCAGTCAATATAATGCTGCCCAAACACAAATTTGAAAAACAGGTTAGTGCTACGAACCAGACATGCATACCAACAAGCAACCACATGACAAATTTTCACTAGTAAAAAATGGATTCCCAGTAATACCTTTCATAGAGCACAGGGTGAAGATGAGGATGGCAGGAATTGACAGCTTTAACAATGCACTCTGCTAGTCCAGCCTGATTCATTCCTGCAAAATGTCCACAAGTCAATGACACTGCTGGTTGTAAATAAGGAAAAAGAATGAGAATATATCAATAATCAATCACTGAATCTTGTACGCAAATTAAACAAAGATTTTTTGTTATTTTTTTGGGGTAACAAAAAACTTGAAAACCTCATAATATAAAATGTTATACCGACCCAAATCAGCAGGACGAAAGATCATCTCTGGGACAAGGAAGCGCTCATTTGTCAAAGTAAACTCCTGTTCAGAAGGTAAAACATTTAGATGTGGAGTCTTTGGCATGGACTACTTTCTCAAGGGAAAATGTATAGTACAGTTTGTGTTAAATCAATTTTTCTTCTGTCCTCGGGCTTTTCTCTAACTTCTAGCTGATCCATGTCCTCTTTTCTTTCAGGTTGCGGAGGTAGGACTCCATCTGTAAAAGCAAGGTATCCATTTGCCTCACCTGGATCTTTTACAAAACCCTTTGTGTGTGTGACACCATCAGGAAGAACATATGTGCAACTGAAGTAGTTGTCCTTTCCATGTCGTCTGTAAGAATATTTCAGAAGGAGTGAGCAAAACAAGGCAATAAAGGCCTTCATAAGAAAATTTTGACTTTTGTAATAATAGATTATGGTCAATTTTGAAGAGAACATGATTCATGCTTTCCCAAGCCCCGAGCTTCAACTTCAAAATCTGTCCTGAATCATGTTTTCACATAAATTCATCCCCCATAGTAACATGACGTCCCTTCAAGACATATGTTCAAAAGGAATTGACTCTCTTTGGTTCTTAATGCTTGTTTTCTTATGTTCCACCAGTTTACCATTCACACTAGAAATTTTCTTGGAGTTTATGGAACCCAACAACCAATGGAATTGAAAAATTGCTAACTAATTACATATGCTCGTTACGTTGTAAGTTTGTACCTGGTTTCTCTTCGAAAGGGGAAATAAGTCACCCTCACAGCCTTGAGATATTCAATTCCCACAAGCATATAACTACCCTTCATGTTATATCAGCAAACACGACATTAAACTACATCGATACAATTATCAGTTAACTGGAGCCTTTTGCTTTCTCAGATCCCAAATAATGAAAAACCTATAAATATAGGAATTCCTCTTTTGGTCCGTGCTGCTGTGAAACAACCAAACATAGAATAAAGTGAATTCATTTTTTTTAAAGCCTTTATTGTCAACTTGTTCCATAATTTCCATTTGAACCAATCCCTAAAAGGCTTAGGATTTAAAATTATCCCAACTATATAGAGATAATATTCAGCAAGAGCACTAGTTTTCATTGAATAATTCAATTTTTAGTAAGTGGCAAAATTTTGATATACTGGTAGGAGGAAATGTTCAAATGCAGAAGTCTAATATGATTTCTTTTTTTCAATAGGAAACGATGATAACATTAATTTTTAAAGTAAAAAAGTATTACAATTAAAACAATTCAAAGGTGGACAAGACGTCCAACCCAAAGACAAGTTGAGTGTTCTAATTGGCTTAAATCTGGGCCGTTGTTGAATAGAGTTGGGGTAATGCCTCAAAATTTTCCAAGAGTTGCAGAAGTTTATAAAGAAAATGTTTGGCAGTGGCAGATGTTGGGTGGTTTAGTAGATGATGGAATGAAAGAAGAGATTAAGAATTCGAGAATTACTCTATCTGATAGTACTGATTTTCTGGTATGGGAATTGAATGATTCTGGGCAGTTTTCGGTGAAATCAGCTTGGCATTTGGCAAGACAGGCTGGAAATGAAGAATTGGTGGCTAAGGCGATATGGGTTCAGGCTGCTCCACCTAGTGCTAAGTTGTTTTGCTGGAAAATTAACAAAAGTGCAGTGGCTTTGGATGTTAGGTTTCAGAAATTGGGGGTGAAGTTAGCTAGTAGGTGTTCGCTATGTTATAAAGCAATGGAAAGTGGAGCTCATGTGTTTATTCGATGTGACTTTGCTGCACAGGTATGGCAACACTTGGCTGGTTTTTTTGGATTTAATTTGATTGAGAATGAAGGTCCTATGGGAAGATTAATGAGATTAGTAAGAATTTTTAAAAAACAGTCTCTTAGTCATATCCTAGTTAGGAGTGTGGCTTTGGTTGTGTTTTGGTTATTATGGAGAGAGAGATGTAGAAGAGTTTATGGAGAAGGATGTTTGTCTGCTTTTTCTATTTTCAAGAATACCTGCAACATTGTTAAGCTACAAGCTTATGGAATTCGGCCGAAAATTCCTGACAGCATACATGGAAAGAAAATGTTGCAGGAATTGGGAGTTACAAGATGTGGAAAAATTGAAATAAAAGCAATATGGGTTAATTGGTCCTGCCCAATGGAGGGATGTTTGAAATTAAACGTGGATGGAGCCTCGAAAGGGAATCCGGGATGTGCTGGTGGTGGTGCAGTGATTCGAAATCAATGGGGTGATTTGGTGATTGCAGGATCTTTTCTTTATGGAAACTGTTCTAATATGGAAGCAGAATTAAGGGCTCTAAAAGATGGTTTATGTCTTGTTGAAAAATATGATTTGTTGGGGTACCGAATACAAGTGGAGGCGGATTCTGAAATTATGGTTAATGTGGTAATGAAGGGGCATTTACGTGCTTGGAAATATTGGGAGTTGATGAGGCAGATTAAGGAGATTTTGGGGAGATTAAATTTTCAGTTGACACATGTGTACAGAGAAGGAAATTCAGCAGCTGATTTTTTTGCAAATTGGGCTGTGCAGTGTGGATGTTCTATGGAGTTCTCTGCGGCTTCGGAAATTCCTCATCCAGCCAGGAGATTGTTGCTGCTTGATAAAAATAGGCACAAATACTTTAGAAAGAAAATTGTATTTTCTTGATTTTCTTGGTATTTTGGTAAAAGCGAATTGTAAAGGCAGGAATGTCTACTTTTTCTTTGATTGTAAATTTTGGGTTATGGAATAAAAATTCTTGATTTCTTTAAAAAAAAAAAAGACAAGTTGAAACAAAGTAAATACAACGAAAAACCAAAAACTATTCCACATGAATCTCTTCAATTTGAGATGATGCAAAAAAGAGGAAAATTCTCAAACTCTTTAGACAATGTTCCCAAAAGGAAGCAATCTCATAGACCATCGACCTCCTCACATTTGTCATAAAAAATTCTCACATTCCTTTCCAACCAAATAACCTAAACAATAGCAAAACAAGCGTAAATCCAAGGAATCTCTCATCTTCTATTTCCACCCCCACTTAGGAGTGTGAAACTATCCGCAAATCCAACACCGACTCCAACTCCGATTCCGGTTCGACTCCGCCTCGGATCAGAGTCGGAGTCAAAATTTGAAATCTTTTCCGACAAAACTCTAACTCCGACTCTGAATTTTATTAATTAATAATTTTATAAAAAATTNATTTCGCCTTCGCAAGGTGGAGTCGGAACGGAGTTATATAAGGTTTGAGTCGCCACTCACACTTCCGTACCATGATACCAACCATAGAAAACATAGTTCTAAGTGCCACCCAACAATGACCCATACAGCTCAATAGATTGTTCCATAGTGAGAGTGCTAGAGGACAATGTAAGAATAAATGATTCATACTATAACATTTGTTCAACAATCTTCATAACAAACAACCATTTCTTAGCATCATTTCATTGTAGAATCCTCTCATTATATCACTCCTAACATCATAGCATTTCATTATAAAATGTGTACAGACATATCATTACACAATCCACAAATTATAAATTCATTTCACTTGTTACACTAGTAAGCAGAGAAAAAACCAACTTATAAATTAAGCTTATTACTCAAAGAGAACTGAAAGAACTCGGGCAAAAAAGCTAACCAATGCATGAACACAACACTANCAATTTTATTTTCCCTCTCTATCTCAACTCTGACCGAAAAGAACCAAATGAGGAAAACCTATTGCTCCAGTCTCCACCAACAACAAGGATGGCTGAGATTCACTAAGCGTAGATCCAACGTTCCTCATAGACTCGTCCTGGATGGGATAGTCAGCTTCGACTGCCTCTAAAGCCCTATCTCGTTGTGAATCCAACCATAGCCATCAATCTAAGTTCAGATCCGTCATCGTCTATCCCTCAACGCTCAATCGGAACTTATCTCCATGATTCCTTCTCTTTTCTCTCACTTCGAGTGCCATTGTTTATGGGTTTTTATTTGAACATTGTTTGTGAATTTTTCTTAACACTGTTCTTATTCAAATTTGTTTCTTGGATTCTAGGTAGGGACGATGATTTACGTGTGGATTTCTTTGGATTTTCGATGATCCTTTAGAAATTGGTTTTGGGTGTTGGAGTTTCTTTGATTCTTCTACGATTTTTGAGGTCCTTTTTTAGATTTGTTTCTTCTTCGAGCAACGGAGATGTGTTGGTGGTGACGGTTTATCTGCAAATTGTACTATGTTTGTGCTTTTTTTTCAGTAGGATAAGGGATAGAGGAGTAGAAGAAGGGAGAAACAAATTAACGAAATCTACAGTGAATTTATAGTTGATTTGCAACGAAGAAGGCAAAGTTACGGCAGAAAACTAATGGTAGAACAAGGGAAGCAATCTGCAAAGCTCCATTTCGCCTTCGCAAGGTGGAGTCGGAACGGAGTTATATAAGGTTTGAGTCGCCACTCACACTTCCGTACCATGATACCAACCATAGAAAACATAGTTCTAAGTGCCACCCAACAATGACCCATACAGCTCAATAGATTGTTCCATAGTGAGAGTGCTAGAGGACAATGTAAGAATAAATGATTCATACTATAACATTTGTTCAACAATCTTCATAACAAACAACCATTTCTTAGCATCATTTCATTGTAGAATCCTCTCATTATATCACTCCTAACATCATAGCATTTAATTATAAAATGTGTACAGACATTTCATTACACAATCCACAAATTATAAATTCATTTCACTTGTTACACTAGTAAGCAGAGAAAAAACCAACTTATAAATTAAGCTTATTACTCAAGAGAACTAAAAGAACTCGGGCAAAAAAGCTAACCAATGCATGAACACAACACTACAAACCAACCAAAAAAAGCATTTTATTAAACTGAAACAACACATAAATCAGCCAAAACCAAGTTCAAATTCTGATACTAATACCTTGCAATTTGCAAATCCCGCGCGACATCAAGCGAGACAATGCACAACTTCTCCTTAACATCATCCATAATAAAAGTCTCATCCATAACATTCACAGCCCTATAACTCACCAGCTCCTTCAAGTAATTGGTCAATGCCTTCCCACCCAAATCCAATCTTTTCACGGCAAAGTTCATAGTGAAGTTCTGAAACACGGGAACTGCATGGGTAAAAGAAAACCCACAGTCCACCACAAGACTACACTGAGTTTTTGACACCAACCCATAAGGCCTTCTTGAGGCCTCATAAAGGTGGACTAAAGCTGGTGGATCAGTGACAAACAGTGAATTGAAATTGAACTCTTCAAAAACAATCTCATCTATTGATCTTTGTATAGAGGGTAGGTTGAAGAGGGGTTCAGTTAAGAGGAGAGAGGACTGAGATGGAGTGATGTGGAGGAGATTGGTAAAGATGTGGGACCAGAGAGAGGTTTGGAGGTCTGGGTTTATGAGGTAGCCGCGGTCGAAGGGGCGGCGGAGAGTGGCGGAGGTGAGGTCTTCGGTGGGGGAGAGGAGTTGGTCGGCTAGTAGCCATTTTTTGGAGGAGAGTGGGCGGCACATGCNAGTGATGTGGAGGAGATTGGTAAAGATGTGGGACCAGAGAGAGGTTTGGAGGTCTGGGTTTATGAGGTAGCCGCGGTCGAAGGGGCGGCGGAGAGTGGCAAAGGTGAGGTCTTCGGTGGGGGAGAGGAGTTGGTCGGCTAGTAGCCATTTTTTGGAGGAGAGTGGGCGGCACATGCAGTTGGGGACTATGGCAGTTGGGTCACGTTCGCCGCCGATTCCAGCCTTTATTAGGCCAGCGCCGTTGTCGAGAACCACCACGTTTGACATATTTTAGGTGGGTTTTTGGGTTTGGCTTTTTCTAGTCACTGTGGNCTATGGCAGTTGGGTCACGTTCGCCGCCGATTCCAGCCTTTATTAGGCCAGCGCCGTTGTCGAGAACCACCACGTTTAACATATTTTAGGTGGGTTTTTGGGTTTGGCTTTTTCTAGTCACCGTGGCTGTGGCAATGGTTAGGAAGGTGAAGAGATCCAAGCGACCGTAAAGATGGCCAGCAAAATCAATCAAAGCGCTTTGGTCCACAGAAATCCCCTACACAATTCCCACAGAAATCTTTAAGAGCACAGGCTGCACAGCAAAATCAATCAAACAAATGCCAAACCCATCTCAAATTCCAAACTTAAGATAAAACATTCATTCGCAAAGANAGATCCAAGCGACCGTAAAGATGGCCAGCAAAATCAATCAAAGCGCTTTGGTCCACAAAAATCCCCTACACAATTCCCACAGAAATCTTTAAGAGCACAGGCTGCACAGCAAAATCAATCAAACAAATGTCAAACCCATCTCAAATTCCAAACTTAAGATAAAACATTCATTCGCAGAGACATAATCCNAAGACATAATCTAAAATATATAAGAACCTTAAATTGAATATCATGTTATCTCTGCATCTATTAAAACTTACAGTAACAAATTTGCAGTAAGAATTGGGCTTTCCAAATTCGATTTGAGGTTATTACAGGTTTGTGTAGCCACTGACTCCTTCATTGCATCGATTTTTTGCTAATCNCTTACAGTAACAAACTTGCAGTAAGAATTGGGCTTTCCAAATTCGATTTGAGGTTATTACAGGTTTGTGTAGCCACTGACTCCTTCATTGCATCGATATTTTGCTAATCTATATGCTGCAATTAATATCTTTATCGCTGTATAGTTGCTGAATGAGTTGGTCCTATGATGTTTTCTGTATTGTGTTGGTGTTTTGGAATTTGTTTAGGATTCTTTTGCCTTAATTTTTTGAAATCTGGCAGACTTTGTTTGCTGAGATAGAGTGTTCACACACACACATATATGAACTAATTAACAGTACCAGCCTAAAATTGGGTCAGCGAATCAGCGAGAGAAAAAGAGACAGCGCTTAGGAGTTACCTGGGTCAGCAACTCAGCATCAGAGAGAGAGAGAAAGAAGGTAGGGGGTCGACGGCGTCTTCTTGGCGGCGTTTAAATTCTATCGAGTTGCTTCAGTTCNACATATATGAACTAATTAACAGTACCAGCCTAAAATTGGGTCAGCGAATCAGCGAGAAAAAAGACAGAGAGAAAGAGAGACAGCGCTTAGGAGTTACCTGGGTCAGCGACTCAGCATCAGAGAGAGAGAGAAAGAAGGCAGGGGGTCGACGGCGTCTTCTTGGCGGCGTTTAAATTCTATCGAGTTGCTTCAGTTCTTCCTTTGTCTCTGAAAATTGTCGGGAGAGAGAGAGAGAGAGAGAGAGAGAGAGAGATGCAGTGGGCGGCAGTCGGCAAAGGCATTGAGGAGTATTGAATGAAGTAGTCGTTTAGTTCCTGTATATTTTATTTATTTATAAAGAGTAATGTTATATAAATTTAAAAAATAAAATTAAAAATAATATTTAATAATTTTTAACTATTAATTTTATTGTGAATTTCAGCATTTATTAAGGTCTACTATCTATTCAATGGTTGAGATTATCAAGTCTATTTTTTAAATTTATGTAACATTACTCAATTATAAAATTAACAGGTATAACAGGGAGGGAGTGGTGGGGTGAGGGATAAGAGCCAGTCTATCCCCGCTTTTATAAAGGGGCAGGGAGCGTTTAATGGCTTAGCTAAAAAAGACACTGATGAATTGAGTTTAGGTCCTCACTCTTTGTTATGACTGCTTACAAACTTTACTAATTGGCACCTTCTAGTGGAACATTAAGCAAAACCTTGTGAATATTGAATGCTAAATATGTTTTCCCCGGTTCATGTCAATGAAATAATATGATCACAATACAATGCCAATGCCTCACTACATACATTCATTGACCAAATTTCAACACATCTTAATTGCAACACAGACCCACAAAAGTATTGGAGATCTGAACCACTTCCACAATCACCTTTCATGCTTTGTTTTTTCTTTTTTTTTTTTTTCCATCAGTTAATTTGATTATATGCTTAAACATTGAAATGTTAGATTGCTGAACATTTGAAACCCAAGGTAAAAAAAAATCACTTATCCAAACATACTACACCAAAACCCTATATAAACGTCATAAACACACAATTTCAATTCCATTTTCTTTGCTTTGACTCGGTTTTCCAGCCAAACAAACAAACACTCCAACACCTAATCAATAGCCTGAAACCCCTATACTAAATGTGACCAGAGAACCCCTTCTCGCCAAAGACAAAACCAAATCACAATGAAATCATTATAATACATTAACACCAACATCTAAGCCCTCGTATACTTCCACAGAAACTTTTTGTAATGCAGACAATTCAAAGCCAATGGAAACTAAAGCATAAGAATGCTAACATATCAGCTAAACATATCAAAAATAAAAACCATACACTCGGGTAATACCCAAAACCCTGATACTTGAAAACACTGAATAAAAAAACTCCCTTTTGAACAATCATTGGTTGACGAAGTAACAAACCACCCACAAAATCAAAAAACCCAGAACCCAAAGAAATATAACTCAGTAGACAATCAATTCAAACCAAAACTCTAAAATCCTGATACTTGAAAACACAATGGATAAAAAAATTCCCTTTTAAACAATCATCAATTGACAAAATAACCAACCACCTACAAAATTAAACAACTCAAAACCCACATAAACATGAAATCTCGTCCACTCCAGATCTTTTGGGGAATTTTGTTAAACAGTTTATAGGCCATCGTTGATAATGTCATTTTGAGCGACAGAGAGATAGGGAGAGGGAGGCTGTGGATGGGGCGTGTGTCTCAACAAATCGACCATGTGTGTTGTGCGTGGGTGTGATAGATGGGGTTTGGGTGTGAGAAGAGAGAATGGGAGAAAGAGGTGTACCTGGTCGGCATCGCTGGGAGTGTGAAACGGGGTTGTGCAGACCTGGGCGACGAAGGTTATGCAGACCACTACCAAATTCAGAAATAGAAAGAGGGGAGGGGGGATGGTGTTTGCGCAAAAGAGGGATGGGGGTAGGGTGTTTGCGCAGAAGAAAGGACTTGCTTATTAGTTCGACATAAATTTGGGACAGTGACTCGCCGCTGTCTATCTGACTCGCCGCTAAAGAAGAGACTGAGATGAGAGAGAGGACATCAGGGTTGCCAGGGAGTCGTTGGGTTGGGTTAGGTTGAGTTGAATTGAATGCGATGGTTTGGGTTGAGTTTGGTCGAATGTGATAATTTTAAAAGAGAAAATATGTTGGGTATAAGATTTGATTTCTATCTTGTTTTATTATATTAATATTATATAGATATATAAATTAAAAATTTTAATTTCTTAATTATATGATTTAAATTTTAAAATAATTATTATTATATTTGTGTAATAATTACGATTGATTGATATTTATATTTTTTTGTATTTTTTTATAAGTATTGTTATAATTGTTATAATTTTTAATTTTATTAATTTATTATATTATTAAATTGATACATATCATTTAATTAAATTATTAAAATAATTTAAAAATTAATATTTACAAAAAGCTTTCATCTGATTTCTTCATTTTTTATGCGATTTATTTGCCCACAAGTCGGGTAGAATAAGTTAACAAAAAATTCTTGTGCAAATATATCGCATATCGGTTATCTGTCAGGAAGATGTAACACTCGAACACCCCTAGTCCACAGCTAGGAGTTGGACAGAGAAAGGAAGAGTTCTAGAGAGATCGACTGAGACAGAGAGTGAGAGAGGGGATGAAGGAGAAGGAGCTGGATTATGTACTGGTACCTTTGGGCATGGGGTTACTTGGAATATACCACGTCTGGCTTCTCTACACCATATTGCGCTATCCTCGAAAAACTGTGATTGGCCTCAATGCCGAGTCTCGCCACCAATGGGTCTTCTCCATGATGGCTGTTAGTCTTCCTGTCTCTGTGTGTATGTGTGACATGCATACATGTATATGAGATATTACATATGTTGCTATTTGAATTCCATTTTTTCAGTTGTTTAGGAACCAGGATTTTGTTGCATTTTGAAGAAGAATGCCTATGTGGTAGACCCATTTTTTTATGTACTGTGCTAGACCCATTTGCTTGCAGTGGTGTACTTATAGTTTCATAGACGCAGATTGTTCTGAAAACATTTCAATTAGCTGCAATTAAGCTTTACCCCATATTATAATTACTACAAAGTAATCATTTTTACTGTCATTCTAAAGGGAACTGAATTTTTGGTAGAACAATTTGCTTGCCAGCATATTCTGATTTTTGCAGGATTTTGTATTATGCAGTATTTAGTTTTGGGGATTGTTTCTGGCTATTATGTATATTTCTAAGACAAGCTTCCTCCTAGAGTGACAAAGTGTTATCCATCAGCTATAGTAAGTAGGTCTATTTTGGGAAAATATTATAAAAAGGTTGAGATCTTGAAGGCAGAAGAAAACCAATAAACTTTGTGCTTTGTGGACCGGGTAATTTTCTTTGTCATGAATGATGGTGATGAGTTGCTGTTATTTTTTCAGAAAATGAGTTTTTGGCAGCCCAGGACAGCATCTGTTCAGTGCTTTTTGTGTTAAAACAAATAACAAAAGGATGGAAGATAGTGTCAAGGTTATACATATTGGGTATATGGCAACTAATTATTTCGCCAAGCACACGAAAAACAACACAAAAACTAGAGCAAACCAGTGGCTGAAAAATTTTACAGGTATCAAACAAATTCAATCCCCAAACTTCTCTATTTCATCAAAATTAAACACAAATTTAAGCAAATACAAATGGGTAACTCATCTGAAAATTTTCCAACAAGAATTACACAAAAATCAATCTTAAAGTTCAGAAATGATATTGCAGCTTTAGCAGCCCTTCAGTTTTCTTCTCAGCAAATCTGTCTTTTTTTCTTCTGTTTTTCCAGCAACTCCTCTGTTTAAATCTCTGTCTTCCACCCACTCTACAGCTTATCTAAAGCCAACCGACTTCCCCAATAGATGCTGCACCAACCAATTCTCTTATTGCTGCCCCTTCACTTGTACTAAGAGACCTTTATCTAATCTACTTGCAACTAAGGACAACATCATAAATATTACATAACAAACCAAAAGGAAAACACCAAAACTACCCGCTATAATTGGGTTTACAAACTAACAATAAAATATAATTTTGTGGATACAAAACTATAGAGCTTGATTGCTGATTCTTGTTAGAGTAGAAAATTTGATTGCGTAGTAGTATGAAGAAAAAGACAGGAAGGTGTACAATAAGATAAGGAAATTTCGTCTATGAACCTTATGTTGCTACCTAAGAATAGAATTGTATCACACAATCGCTGAAAGCTTCAATAGTTTTCCTTATATTCTCAAAATTCAATTTTCATAGTATTGCAAAATTAGATATATGGTTATGCTCATGTGGACGTTTTCTTTGACATGACTTGATCCAAACTATAATCCATGGACCACCACTATAGCTCATTTCCAACAAATGTAGATGTTGTCAAAATCCTGTCTTTTCTAATCACCAAATTACCTCTTACTCTTGAAAATATTGAAACTTCACACATGCTAGCTTTAAATGGAGATGAATAACACTTTAAACCCAAAATTTGATTGCACAATGTTCCAAGTGGGACCCATAAGAAACTCTCAAATCATTTTCATTTCATGTCAGCATGATTTTTCATCATGGTGCTCAATGGAAAAATCAATCTGGAGATTTGTAGTGTTGAGACATGATGACTTTTGAGAATCTCGCTTCAAAGAAGCATGAAAGATTTTTGTTGAACTGATTTGAATATCTTTTGGAAATGGTATGGATAATATTGAAGAATACTTCTTGGGTATTGTTCTATTCTTTGAATTTGGATTAATGACATCAAGGGTATCCCGTAGGAACAAATTATGAACTAAGGGTATCTTTTCTTTGGATAAGAGCACAAAAATAGTGGTATTCTCGCCATTATCTCCAACTTCCTTGATAATCTCAAACTTTGGATCTTCAAAGCCACTGTGCTGGCCTAAAATCACATTCAAAGGCATGTGTGCTGAAGTTCCTAAGAAATTTGAAGAGTCCAAACATTGAGAAGTACTTAGTCCATTAGCTTTCTTTTCCAAGATAGCAGCAGTGATAGTATCCAATAGAGTCTGTAGCCTGAACATAGGGACCCATATTAAATCCATCCTTTTAAACCTTCTATCTCCATAGATCTTCAATTATAATTGTCACTCGTTAGTACATGAGTGAGTATGTAACTTAAATAGTTGGTGGGAAGCTAAATTCCGGAAGTATGACATGGGATAGACTCTTGTTGTGCTCTCCACTCCGTTGTTTTACAAAAATGAAAGGCTTTTAACAAAAATGAAAGGCTTTTATACGAGGATCCCTTAGCGTGGATGCCAAACTGAAAACAGCACTATTACACTAAGAACAATGGTGCCAAGGAAGGTTAACAAGGAAGCCACTTCGATCTATAAAAGAAGAGTTCCTCTTTAGCTTAATTTGAGGGGATTATGACTGGCTTTATTGGTTTTATTGGCTTTCCATAAAATGGGGAAAAAATGGCGTGAATGTTTTACTGCTCAACTCACTGGCCTGATGCTGGCCTCTATTTTTCTTATATGTTCTCCACCCTCCACCATCTCTCCCCAAAGTCATTTTCTTGGAGGAAATCCAGCTGTATTTTATACTTTCTCTTGGCCTTGTAACATATTGAACTCATTATTTTAAAAAAGCTTCAAATTAGGTCATGAGTGCTGTGGTTATAAAGATGGCGGCTATGTTAGTTCCAAATTAGTTAGTTGCTGGACTGGACAGAGAAAATTCGCTGGCTGATCTCACTTCCTTCCTCGCTGCACAGGTTAGTCTCCTGACTCTCCTCTTTTTCTTCTCTCTTCTGGTTCTGATTTTTCTTCTCTCTTCTGGTTTTTTTTCCTGGTTCTGCTCCTTTTTTTCCCTGGTTCTGCTCCTTTTTTTTTTTCTGATTCTGATTCTACTCTTGTTTGTTTTTTTTCCTGATTGTGCTTCTGATTCTGCTGAATCTGCTCTTGTTTTTTTTTTTTTGCTGTTTTGCAGTCAGGCTTCTGTTTTATGTTCTGAATCTGATAGTGTTGTGCTGTTGTTTTGCTGTTCTGTTTTATTATCCTGAAATGTGATTCAATACATGTGTATAATCCTACGAATGTACATAAAAATAGATTTACAAAAACAGCTGTGATTGATTGATATACTTTAACAAAAACACTTGTGGTTGATATACTTTAAAAATAGATTCAGTGCATGGCATGTTGTTGTTGCTGATTTCCTGTGCTGTTTTGTTCATTTGATTGTAGTGTGATAGTGTTATTTAATTGTATAAGCTATGACTGTTATTAAAATTTGAGATATTGTTAGTTTTTGTTTTAATTTAAATGTTTATGGTTTTACTTGCATTTAAATATTTAGTATATATAAAATTAGAACTGAGATTGTTTAGAAGTAATTAAACTAAAATATTTATTTATTTTTTAACTGTTCGCTTCGCTTCTTGCTTCTCGCCTAGGCGTTAGGAGCCTTGATTGCTTCGGTTCGCTTTACGCCTTAAATAACACTGGTACAAAGCATTAGCCCAAACATCTACTTCTGGATCCACTCCATGATCTGCTCCAAAATCCCAGTCAGCCTGCTCACCTATCTCAAGATTCTCCTCAATCTCGAGATCTGAAAATAATTATTCATGAAGGACAAGCAAAAAGTCAAGTAGAGAAATCCTCTCAAACTCAACAAGGTTTTGAAGGCACAAGACAGGTAAGTCTCATTCATCAAAATAATATACATAATTTTGAAGTAAAACAGTGACAATTTATAAGATTTCAGGAGTACGGTAAATACATTAAAAATTCATGAACCAGTAAGGTCACAGCTTCAAAGCCACATACATCAATATAATCAATATGTATCTCACATAAAAAGGTAGATAGACTAATATGCATCCACTCATCGAGAGTATCCTGGCCCACACTCATCAAAAGATCTCCTTCTTTCTTCTCCCCAACTCCTTTTAGCTTTCTATTGTTGAAATAATAATGAAAATAGCCTAAAACCCATCCATAGGGTATTTCTATGACCCAAAATCAGAGGATAAACACAAATAGATTGGGCTAAAACTCAGAGGTGCATTCGAACGATTGGCACGCGTTCGAACGAAACAACGATTTGACCCACGCATTCGAACGAATAGTGTGCATTTGAGCGGAAGCTCGTATCGTCAAGGGCACTGTTCGAACGGACCCCTTGCGTTCCAATGGTGCAAACTCTCTAGAATGACTTCAACCAAGCCTTGCGTTCGAATGGTTCTTCACCGTTTCGACGCAAGTGGTTTTCTAGCCCAGACTTCTGCTTCGAATTTTTTTACAATCCTCTCAACATATTTAACTATTTTTCACAATCACCACAACATAATTTATCCATTTCTTACAAATTCAATTCATCATAATATAATATAATCCACATAATTACTTGGGGGTTTACACAAATACTTCCTAAAGGTTGGGGTATCTATACCTGATACGTATTGGATACGAATACATAGATATTGTCGGGTATATATCAGATAAAGCCAAATGTGCCAGGGATACTTTAAAAAAATTTAAATTTGGATACGTTTGGGATACACGATTGATACATTTATGATATGTCAAGACAATGTGGGTTAAACATATCATTTTTAAAATTTTAAAATAGGCTACTGAAGTAAACATTGAAGCAAGTATAACAAATATTTTCTAAATTAAAAATATGGGAGTTTGTCCAAAAAAAACAAGTATAATTTTACCTTCAAAATAGTTGGCCTATTGAGCATGTTATTTACTGAACATTGCCTCCTTATAACATCTCATTACTTCTTAGTCAAGATTTTACCCATCAAAAAGTGAAATCAAGAGACTCATTTGAATATTTTATGATATTTGGTTTTATTTGATATTTACAGGTGAGTTGTCCATTGGGATACGTGAATAATGAATTTACATTATTGTTTGTTCAATTAAGATTTATTGGTTTTTTTAATATATCTTATCATATCTATCCTATGGTAATATACATTATGTTTTCTTAGATAAATATCCTTTCTAGAGTTTATTATATCGTCGTGACTGGTTCATATACTACCAGTATTCGTATCCATGCTTTTTAGAGTTTGACTCATGTATCTATGTCCCAGACATCTAGAACACAAGCACATTCAGACATGTGACCTACAAGTCTCGAACATGCTAAAATATGTTTCAATTAGTTTTTATTTTTTTAAATTGCTTACACGCATTGGACACTTCTTTATAGTTTTCAAATAGAAATGCGGGGATCATTTCATTATTTAAAAGCAACAGGGGCGTAACAATTTTTTTGATCGGATAGGGGCGTAGCATAAAAAACATCACTTTTGACTTAAATCCTTATAATAAAAATAACAATCTGATGAGAGTTATTTCTCTCATCAGACGATGCATCGGGTTAGGGTAGAGAGAAATCAAGAGACCCAAAGAGAAAAGAAGATCGGAGAGGAGATTGACACATGCGACCTTTGTTCACTCTGGTGACTTGCGATGCTCTAGAGCATGCTGCGATTTTCACTATTTGGGGTACTCTTTGTCTTTTTGAAGCAAATAGCAATCTCCTTCCTCAAAGGTAATCCCCAATTAAAGTATCCTTATCTTTTTTCGGAGAGTAAAGAAATACCTTTATATCTTTATTTAGCTTATTTTGTTATTTTATTGTTGCTACTCTGCATATAAGCTGCGAATGGGCTGCTTTGATCTTTAGGAATTTTTTTTGTGAGTGTTACTATGAAATTGGAAGACTCTATTAGTAAGCTTTATCCACGTGATGATCACCCATTTTGTAATTATTTTTACTCTTGCAGAGATTAGTCAACCCATTCATTTTTGAAACAACTCTAATTAGGAAGTTCTGTCTCATTTCATAAGATACTAAAAGAGTGTCTATTTATGGGGACTTGTGTTGTGGCTCTTCTTTAAGAAATTTCTTTCATTTGAATGCTGATTGGACTGGTAATCCATTAGATGGTAGGCTCACTTTTAGATTCTTCACTTTTATTAGTGGAGATCTTGTGTCCTGGGTGGATGAAAAAATGTTATAGCAATTCTAGTGTGGAGGTGGCAATTTATAAGTCTTGCTCAAAAATCTTAGAAGTACGATACCCTAATATGAAATGACTACTAGAATTGATATCAAGCAACAACGGTCAAGTACTCTCCTAAAACCTAAGGAATTTATCTGATTTTGGAAGTTTTTTGAACTGAGATAAAATAGAAAATGTGACGTTTTAGTAGCCTCGCGAGCATACAGTAGAAACAAGGGGATCGATAGGTGCCATGGGGTCGAATCCTCAAAACCCTATCCTCCAAATCTTGAAACCTTAGCTGGTTTCAAGAGCTGTAGCTCTATGTAGGAATTCTACACTCAAGGACTTCAAAAACTGCTAGAAAAGTGACTGACCCCTTTTATTTGTACTAACCTTAAAGCTTCTAAAGGAAGTCACCACAATACATTGCACATAAACCCCGAAAGAACTATATAATTCCTAAACACCCCAAACATATAACCTTTGTTGCAAAACTCTCCCCGTGCTCCCCTCGGGAGGGGGGGTTGTATGTTCTAAAAATTGACTTGCTGCACATGACCGACCGACGGGCAATGAACTGGCACGCTGTCAGTGTGTTGAGGTCAAGGCAACAAGACAAGCACAAATGCCAAGAAGGCAAAGGGCAAAGGGAAGAAGGCCAATACAACAATGCCAACGGCAATAAATTCCAAAGGCAACAATGGTAAGCAAGTGATGCAGAGAGGAAAGGGAAAGAAAGGGGATAACCAATCCTCGTAAGGATTTGATCAAAAACACAAATCTCTGTAGAGAATTATCAAACAAATATTCAACTCTAATTCAAATAAAGTGGAATACGTCTTTATTTATAGACCAAGTTTCCTACCATAAATGAACTACTCTACTACTAAAACTCAACCAACTTATCCTATTAATCTCAATCTGATAAATACTATCTAACTAAAAATTCAAATAATAAATAATAAAAATAACAAATAAAAATCCTAATAAATTTATTAAGTACATTTTCCTTTGGACTAAAAGCTCTTAGTCTTCGGCTTAGGCTTCCAAATTCGGTCACGC